CCCCCCCCCAGTGGAAAAGGTGGACCGAGAACCCTGCGGCTCGGGGAAAGCAGGGGGCGCCCACAACACAGGCGCGCATGTGCTGGAAAGCCAGAGCGTAACCCGGCTGGCGGAAGGACCCAGAGGTGCGGGATGGGCACCAGCGGGGGTGGAAGCTGGGGCCGCGCCGGGCGGGGAGTTTAAAAATGGCCAGAGAAGCCAGGTAGAGGGGGTGCTGCCAGCAGTTGTTCCTCTCACAGGTGGGGAGGCAGAGCGCGGACCCGGAAGCCCTCGGCGGAGAGGAAAGGCTGGAACGGGGTGGGACGCAGCGGTGGCAGCCCGAGAAGGGAACCTGGATGGAGGCCGTTGCCAGGAGCAACTGGGAAGGAGAGGCCAGCGGGAGTGGAGGTGGAGAGACGGGAGCCTCAGGACACTGACCGCAGGAGACGGGAGGTCTAGAACCGGCGACTCCAGACCTAGGGTAGGACTAGGGGCACCGGGACGCTAAAGCCCCATGCACCGGACACCGCTGCGGAGCCAGGAAGCTGGTTACAGACCTTGGTAGCCATAGGGCAGAGATTAGAGGGAGCGGCAGGAGCTGAGGAAGGAGCAGCAGCAGCAGGACTGGGGTAGGCACCATGTCACCCGCCGAGTGCTTTTCAGCCACGCAGATGGTGTGGCCCTGATCCAGCATCTCCCGCCAGGTCTTTCACCGCAGCTGGATGTCCTCCTTCAGTCTCTAGTCCATGGAGTCCTGCAGGGCTCACAGAGCGGAGATGTGCTCCCACTGGAATTTCTTCTTGGTTCTCCTGCACCAGTGGGTCACTCAGAGTTGGGAGGCTGTCCTGGGTGGTGTTGACCGCCCCCCTCTCGCAGTTGGTCCAGCTGTGGAGAACAGAGACATGGCCATTCATCCCTGGAGACACTGTGCCTAAAGCCTTGCCCTCTTCTATGAGCTGAGACCAACAGTTCTCGGCTAAGATGGAGCTGCTGTACTTGGAGCAAGACCACCTGGACAGCAGGCCCTTTCCTACAGGGGCACAAATGTCCAAGGGGGAAGTCTCACTATTCCCACGTTCCAAGGACAAGCAGGCACGGGACGGTGCTGGATAGACTGGGAGCCTGCGGCCAGGGGGTTGGAAGGGCAACATGGGGTGGCTGCCTATCAAAATGGCCCCTTGTGACATTGGCAATTGGCTTTATGGGCAATTATGCCCCAGACTAAGAGTCTGAAAAAGCAGTTTAAAATCACTTTTTAATTCTTTCCATCTAGAACTAGTGTTCAGCACAGTTTGTCCAAACAAGAGAATCTTCTCTAAACAATAGAAACATGTGAGCATCCAGTCCTGGTGCACAGTTGCCAACTTTCTGGACCAAGCAGCCTGGACGTTCCCCTGCCATGTTTTCTAATTCTGGCTACCCTCTATTGTTTTGATAAAGACCAATTGGCTACGTCTACATTGGCCCCTTCTCCGGAAGAGGCATGTTAATTTCCAACTTCAGAATAGGGAAATCCGCGGGGGATTTAAATATCCCCCGCGGGATTTAAATAAACATGGCCGCCGCTTTTTTTCTGGCTTGGGGAAAAGCCGGAAAAAGGCGTCTAGACTGGCGCGATCCTCCGGAATAAAGCCCTTTTCTGGAGGATCTCTTATTCCTACTTCGAATATTTAAATCCCCCGCGGATTTCCCTATTATGAAGTTGGAAATTAACATGCCTCTTCCGGAGAAGGGGCCAATGTGTGTCAGCTATTCAGAGTAAGCAAACACCCTTACATTAGGAAATGAACCGATTAATGAAACCTTTACAAGTTGTGGACTTGTCTTGCTAAGAAGAGAAGGAATGAGGAGAGAGGGTTGAGAGAAACTCTTGGTACAATATATAAAAGCCAGAGTGAGTTATGAAATATGAAGTGTCAGTCCTCTTTATTTCAGCACACAACTCATTAAGTTATTTGTGTTGCAACCACACAAATTCAGTTCCCACCTGCAGCAAATTGTAGCATGTAATAATGCTTCTGTATCCCCAGCAAATTCACATGCCAAATACCATAACGCAGAACCAAATTCTGGTTTAGTAGTCTTAGCACTGTTCAAAAGAAAAACATAAGGAAATTAGACGTACAGCTCAAGTTGTTATAATACATTTAAGTTTGCCCTTAAACCACCCACTTCCTTTACCTAACCGCAGCCTACACCTGTGCACACAGATGTAACTGTGAAAAATGCCATCTTCCTTTCCCCAACCTCAAGCAAAACAAAACATTCCAAAATGTTTTTGTAGACATTTTTGTTTTGTTTTAAAGGACTCGGTGGTAAAAGGGAACTTGAGTTTTTAGCAGAAAAACATTTTGAATAAAAGAGCATTGTACGGGTTAAGAATTCACAAATATTCACATGCTTGCGTCAGTCATATGTGTTGGGTTTTTCAGAAAGACAAGAAAGATAGTTGATTTGTTAAAGACAATACACCACTAGCAAATTTGAAAAGAAAAATCCTCTGTATTTAGAGAAGTGCATATATTGTTGCCGTAGTTCTAGAGTTACCTGTGCCTTTGCTCCCTTCCTGATCTGCTCAAGGATATCCCTTTTAGGTTTCCAGCTGTCACCTCTTTGTGGGTGGGGACTTACATCCCTTGCTCTCCAAACAAGGGATTTAGAGTTGCCGTTCCCGTGCAATTAAGAACATAAGGCTATCCATACTGGGTCAGCCCCAAGGTTCCTCTAACCAAGTATCTTGTCTTCTGCTAGTGGCCAGTGCCAGGTGCTTCAGAAAGAATGAAAAGTACAGGGCAGTTACTTTTCTCACTTTTCTCCACTATGTACATTTACAGTTGACATCATGAGCGTCTTTGGCATTGGTAATTCACACTGCACATTTTGGAAGGGTAAAGATCATTTACTTACCTACAGTAAGTACCCACAGTGATCCTGTGGAATGTTTGTCTGTGTATAGCCCCACATCTGGCAACCTGTAATATTTAGTGGCCTGTTAGTGTTTTTTAGCCTTAGTTTTCTCAGCGTATTGGTCACTGTCAAGACTACCTGTCACCTCATTGCTGAGAGAAACACTGCTGCACATGCAGCGGACACACTTTCATTATGGATGGACACATAAGGTACTTATTATGCCTTGGAGAGGGTCATGATCCCAGCAGCTACAGTTTTCCAATTCACCTGGCATGCTAGAAATAGTTATCTCCATTTCCATCTCTTCAAGCAGCCTATGAAAAAAAGCATTCTGTGAACAACTAGAGATTCATCCTTCTAATCTCAGTCACCTGACCTGCACTTTGCTAAGGGCTTCCAATGTAAAAGTACATCACAGTACAAATTCCTTTCGCGTTATTAATGTACACTAAAAGGGGTAACTTGCACTATAAGGAAGTAGTAAAGGAATAACTTGGTTGTTGTGTAGCCTGTTCTTCCTTTACTCTAATCCTAAATCTTTTGTCAGTGGATACTGTCCTATACATACTACATCAGCCTCAAGGATATTTAAGCATGCAAGAGGATTCTAGCTACTTAACAATACCAATTTACATAGACCATAAACAAAAAAAATAGATTTATTTACTCATCAAAACACATATGTGGTATATGCTGGTTGAACCTCTAAAATCCAGGTCTCGGGTCTGGCAACATCCTTGGTGTGGCAGGACCATGGGTATTGCCGACTAGAAAGCCCCATCTGGGCAGATTCAGGAGCGCAGAGAGCAGGGCTGACAACTGAGAGGAGAGCCTTGACTTACCCTGGTCCTGAAGATGCTGGACCCAGGGAGGTCCCACCTGTATTTGTTGATACATGTGGGCCCACAATGGCAACTTTAGCCATCAGCAAGCAGCACTTAATTCCTATGAGATATCAAAGCTATCAGTCCAAACAGATTATTTTAATAGGAAAAAGGTTGTTTTCCTAGTTGAAGAAAGGACAAGCAATTAGGACCTAGGATGCTACAAATTAAATGTGCTCCTATGATTGTTGTAATGTTGGTCCTAAAATATTAGAGACACAAGGTGGATGAGGTAACATTTTATTAGATCAACTCCTATTGGTAAAAAAGACAAGCATTCAAGTTTACACAGACCTGAAAAACACTTAGTGACCTCAAAAACTTATCTCAGTCAACAACAGAAATTGCTTGCATAAAAGATATCACTTCTTGCACCTTGTCTCTCCCATGATGACTCAAATAAAGACTTGACTGTGTTTTACAAGATCAAGATGGTAATTTCCTATGTCATCCCTATGTGAACAGGGAAACACACCTCTCAGCTCAATTGCAGATATACCCCAAAAGGTAGGTATAGATTATAGAACAGAATTTCTTATATTTAACATATCAAATTAGGACATCAGTAACACTTATTAAATGTATAGTTTTAAATTCCTACTCAGGTACACCTGTGTCAGTCCTTTGTTTTCAGTCATGTTATAAAGGTTGAAAATGAAAACAGCATTTAGCTTTGGTAGTTAAAGTTCTGCTGTTGTTGAGCAAAAAGAAACACTGAAAATGAGAGATTAATTGGTTTAGAGCAGGGGTGTCCAAACTTTTTTCAAAGAGGGCCAGATTTGATGAAGTGAACATGCATGAGGGCCGACCATTTTGCCTGACATTCTTTGAACCATTAAAATTAAATGCAAATTAACTATTTTATGCAAAGTTTATTGCAAATGGCATACTTTTCATTTCGTCACATGGATGACAAATCTAAACAGGTGTTAAACCACTCTGCCTTTCATATCTGAAGGCCAGATGAAAAAAAAAATCCAGGAAGCTGAAATATATGTCAGGAACATTGTAAAGTACATTACATATTATTGGTAATAAAGGTTGTCTGTCAACTTTTAAGTTAAAAAAATATGAACAGGAACATAACACCAAGTATACATGTTGTGTCCAAATATATTTATAACTGATTTAGACCAACTGACATTAACTGAGATTTTACAATGTATTCATCTCAATACATATGGATTCGTTGGGGGCCATAAAAGATAGATATTGCCAAATTACCTGGGGGGCCGTATTAAACCGGAACACGGGCCGCAATTGGCCCCCGGGCCGGACTTTGGACATGCCTGGTTTAGAGAATCAGAACATAAAGCAATGGCACTAATGCTTCTAAGAGTGCATCTATACTGCAGGGCTTACCTCAAAATAAGCTATACAAATTGAGCTATGTCAATTGTGTATCTTATTTTGAAATAGGGAGTATCTATACAGTACTTATTTCGAAATAGAGTACTCTTTCTCTGACTTCACTTATTCCTTGTACAATGAGGATTACAGGAGTCAGAGTAAGAAGGCCTCCAGCTTGACAGTATTTTGATATTATGTCGAAATAACTGCCTGCTGTGCAGATGTTATTTCGGAATAGCGCTAGTTATTTCGAAATAATGTTGCAGTGTAGGCGTACCCTAAGGCTATGTCTAGACTGCATTCGTCTCTCGAAAGAAGAATGCAAATCTCACGCTTCATTTGCATAATCATGTCCGAGCGTTTTTTTTTAAATGGTTTTTTGAAAAAAAACCAAACAAACCCCAAAACCCCACAGTCTCGATGGGGTTCTTCCGGGAAAAAAAACTCTTTTTCGAAAGAACCCGTACTCGTGAAAAAATGAGGAAGTATGGCTCTTGAGCAAGGGGGGGGGGGGGGTTGTGCAAAAAGGAGCCATCTACACAGCATCTTGTGCAAAAACCGCCCCTAATTAATTATGTGAATGAAGCGTGGCAATATGCTAATCTGCGCTTCATTTGCATAGGATTTTGTGCAAGAGAGGTGCAGTGTAGATGTAACCTCAGTTCCAAAGAGAGGCAGAAGAAAGTATCAAAGGCAAGAATGATTAAACATAACATCAACTTAATTACATTTCTGCCTGAACACTTTATGTATTTTTTTGATCCAAGTAACACACAAGATTATTATAACTAAATGATCCAAAATATTTCTCTATTTTTTAAAATTTATTTACTTTCAGCATTTAATATCTCTTTTAGTTTAGGTCGTTTCATTGTTTCCCTTTGGTAATCAGTTTCTGCTGTTGTTTTTGTAGGTCTTTCACACAGCAACAAAGAAAAAATAAAAAACAACCACTGGAAAAAATGTGATTGCACAATCACAAAAGTTAGCACAATATTTCAGAGGCAAAATTGGTCCCACATCCACAAAAGGACTCTGGACATCAAAATGATTTTTGGACACTGGAACAGCAAAGTGATAACACAAAATCTGAGTTAGGCACTTAGGCTTCCTATACAATGAATGGAGACAGATAGTCACCTAAGAATGTGCCCACAAAAACCAATAGGGGTGGTGAGGAGCTGCCTAAGATAATCAATGGGAGATGCTGAGGAAAGGGCATAACTTTAGAGCTTCCCCTCTCACAAAGTTAGGTGCTTAAGTCTGGGCTGCAAGGAGGCACTTTTCTTTGCTAGCAATCCACAACCAGGTCTCTTCTTCTATAGTCATGTGGCTTAAGTATCTAAATAATTTCTTGCGAGAGCAGGTCAGGTGCCTGTCTAACTCCTCATACAACAAAGGAAGCAGTGTCCTCCCTATAACGTTTAGCCCAGTGTTTAGAGTATTTACCTGGGATGTGAAAAAGCACAAATTCAATTTTAACAGGGATCTCCCACCCGCCACCAGAGTACCCTGTCCAGTGAGCTATAGGACAGTCTAATACAGGTGTCTCTCAATTTCTTCTGTTGAAGCTATTCCACTGTGACTAAAGAAAGTGTCTGGAGCAGGGGAACTGGCTAGTGGGTCTCCTACCCATCAGGCTACAGCATCAGTCTCACAGTCTTATTGGCTGTAAATATTTATACATAGTACAACAGCTTCAACAAGAGAGGCAGCAGTCTGCCTTCTCCCCCTCAGACAGAGAGAGTTATTGAATCTCCCACCTCTCAGATGACAGCTCTAACCACTGAGCTAAAATCATTAAGGTGGGCACCTCTACCCATATTCCTGTTGCTTGATTTTGAATGGGACCCAATCCATAAAGCAGCACTAAGGATGCCCATTGGATAGGGCCCAAAAGGTTAGATAAACGCTTCTCTGCTGATCTTCCCCTGCGACGTAGTTCACTCTGGGGTTTGGGTGAGAGATAGGTGTCCTGCTGTTCAACATTAGGTAGCACTGTGCATGCCCAAAAGGAGAAACAAGGGCATTTAGGGAACTTTTAGAACAGAAACTTAGGTGTCAAGCAAATTTAGGTAACTACAGGGCTAAGTGACAGCCCAGTGGGATTTTGTGGATCACAGTAGCACATAAAATTGGGACTTACCTTCCAAAGTACCTTTGTGGAACTGGACTTCAGTTCGTTTTTAGAAACTCACTGGCCTAGAAAATAAAAGCAGCTGTTCTCTTGCCTAATCAAGAGCACAATTAATCTCTTTTACCTTCCCCATGAAAAAGTCATTCTAACGAGTTCCTGTAGATGTAGTAACCATCATGAATTTCCAGACCATAGTACCCCTAGAAATCCCAAGCACCAAAACACAGAAAGCCAGCTCTGAAAAAACCTACAATGAGAAAACAGTGAATATAAAAGCATGAGCGTTGGAACATGAACTTGATCCATCAAGTCAGTATCTTGCCTCTGACAAGGATCAACAATATTTAAGAGAAATGCACATATTCTTCCCACTCATTACACATACAGGATACACCATTAGCAATTGTGCAATGTTGTATGCTGGAGAAAAAAAATCTTTTCACGCCTCTTAGAACCATCTGGTTATGCCCACAAGCTTATTTCAACCTGTCCTGCTCAGACTTAACTGTGCTGTAAGATTTAATTATACAGGAACTAAGCCAAAAATTGAGAAGCCTAGTAAGCATAGAGATTAATGTTTAAAACGTAACACTTTTAAAAATGTCCATAGCCTATATGTTGTTTTGTAAAAGTCTCCTGGTGAAGAACTAGTGAAACACATGGGAGAGTCACACAGGCAACAAATTAGAACCTACTGTGAAATTAGCCCTATTTTCTAAAATTAAAATTGACTCTACTCTTTTCTACTGGTGGCTACACAGCCATTAATAATATTGTTTCTTTGGTAAAACATAGATAATTTCAATATGTACAGTGCAAGTACGTTTTGAAAGGCAATAGAAGGAGAATTTAAGGGCAAGGTTACAACTAACTGAGAATGGTGTAATGAAACTGAATAAATTCTACTATGCAATGTGTTACTGGTGTCTCAAGTGGCCTGGAAAAAAGGAAGCAGGTGCTCCCATACCTAATCAAGAATATCTCAATGAAAATGTCCTTATGCTGAGTGCTTCTAGACATAGCAGCCAACCTGAATTTAAAGGTACCTGAGTTAAGATTTTCAAAAAGCCAGGAGCAAGTTTTAAGTTTTTTAGGTGCTTTTCTCTTTGAACATGTGGCCTCTTTCAATGAAGAACTAAACATTTTGGTTATGTCTACACAGCAGCATTATTTCAGAGTAACTGACGTTATTCCAAAATAACACAGTCTGCGTTTGAAAGCAAACAGTAATTTAGACATAATGTTGAAATATTGTTGAGCTAGAGAACTTTTTTACTCCAACTCCTGTAATCCTCATTTTACAAGGAGTAAGGGAAATCGGAGAAAGAATGCTCTGAGTCGGACTTTCTGCTGTGTAGACAGCATCAAAAGCCGAAATAAGCTATTTCAATTTCAGCTACACAATTGACATAGCTCAAGTTGTTTAGCTTAATTCGGCTTTAACCCTGCTGTGCAGACGTGCTGTTTGTGAGTAGAGCTAGAAAATCTCCAACAATGTTTTTCTATATGAAAGTGCAAATTAATCAAGTATGTTGATTTAGATGATTTCCATTGTATATAAAAAAAGAGAAGACATGAAGCATTTCAGTTATTCCAGTTCAATGGCATTTTAATATTAATGGAATGGAACACTTAAATGTTTGTTTCAAAATGATTTTTTTATAGAAATTTCTTTTATCAGCAATGTTTTTAAAGAAATGTAAGAAATAAGGAATAGACCAAAGTGTTTTGATTGAAACATAATATTTCAATCCATCCTAATTCATTTTGAACTTTGTTTTATTTTGAAATAGAAACTTTCTTTAAATTTATAGAATTTTCAATGATATAGAAAATCTGGTTCCCACTGAGCTCTGGTTGTGAGTATAAAGTTAAACTATTTAGAGATTTGGAGCTATTTCAAGGCAAGTTAGATATTTTATAGATCTGGAACATCTTGAAGGAATGAGACCAGTGTTTCTCAAACTGTGCTCCGCAGAGCCCTCTCCAGGAGTTCCGCGAGGTTGACAAACTGGAAACATCAATAGGTACAACTCATACAATCAGTGGACCGCTGGGGCTCTGCATAAATTTTTACGCATGTAAAGGGCTCCGGAGCCCAAAAAGTTTGAGAACCGTTGAACTAGACAATGTTCAAGAATAGCATTAAGGGGGTTATTGCCTAGTCATATCTGTTCTTTCTAATCTGGGGGACAAGTGTTAATTGGTGGGTATATAAAATTAACATTTAGCATCCCTCATAGTTTGAGCCTATCTTCTAAAAACCATTAGGCTAA